ATCCGCGCACGCTGGCCTTACAAAGTTCAGCTGCTGCAGAGATGGAGTGCTGGCTGGCACCGCGCACGCTCGTCTCAAGCACTTCCAAGAGGCACTGATGCAGGGCGTTTTCTTTATTGTTTTGTTTTGTTTTGTTTTGTTTTGTTTTGTTTTAAATCACAATGATATGTGGCCCCCTACATGAGTTTCCTGCTCGAGACTGCGTCGATTTGCATGGCCTGGGGCCCAACATTGTAGAGCATTGCTGCAAGGACGGAGGCGGCTCCTCTTCAAAACGGGGCTCTCGCTAGGCACTTTCTTTAACTTTGTGGCCCTACTTCTTGTCGGGGGTGGACAGACCTCCTACCCTGACACGTCGACTAGTGAACTGGCCGTTTTCGGTTCGCGAGAGGGCGTCGCGGCCGTCATTTTTGCGGGTCCAGGTGCGTCGGTTTCGGTCCCAGGCCGCTTTCACTGAAGGGAGTTTTACTAAAGGGAGGTTTGTCCACCGCCGATCTTTGCATTTCGTGCAGCTAGAAGGATCGAAGCTGGAGCCTTTACAAGCAGGGGTCTTGCCTGAATGGTTTGCCCACGTTTTGTTTTTTGCAGTGGCAAGAAGCATTCGTGAGGACGTGTGAGTCAGGGACTTGGGAAGGAAGGGCGTACCGCAGCATCGCTGGCGTATCCTCTGCTCTGGTCCTCTACCTCCTCCTCCCCAGACGTCCGGCGATGTGTTTTTTCCAATCCGCGGCCCCAGGGTTCCCGACCCCTTCGCAGGGGGCAGTTTCTAATCCGGGGTCAGTGCTTGGTTGTTGCAGATCCCGACAACCCTTTCCCGGGACGTAGAAGCTGGATGAACAACGTCGGCATTGAGCTTAACTTGGCGAAGGACCCAACCCTAAGCAGATGCGAGTACGGCAAGGTGATTGGGCCGCGGCACCGCTCCGGGGTCGCTGTCTCGGCCTGTGCGGCACAGCGCTGCACATAGAGCAGTCTCGGCCTTCGACCCCTCTCGCTTGGGGATTTGCGGACCTGCCTCGCGATCTCTCTTTTCACTTGGCCCGTGATGCGACCGGCACGCGCACGAGCTGCGAGGCCAGCACCGAGACATGTTAATATCTGCGTTTTGGAACACATGTAAATGATAATCATGATAATGACGAGTTGGGCAAGCGAAAGGACCAAGACGCGAATGGGAAGGATGAGCGCGAGCAGATGCAGCGGGGGCAGGGAGAGTGAAGAAAACGAAGATCTTCACTGGAAGTTCCTCGTCCTCGTGAACCTCATCCTCATCCTCCTCATCCTCGTGCTCCTGATCGTGATCCTTAGCTTCCTTAGCCTTATCATCATCTTCTTGATCCTCCTCGTCCTCGTACTTCTCTTTGTCCTCTCAGTCCTCCTTCTTCTCCTTATCGTCCTCTTCTTCATCCTGATCACCCTTATCCTGATGGGAACTCTCTGGATCATGTCGGAAGCCTCTTTCCACCGAGGCCATAGGTGACACCTGCTGTAGGTGTCGATCTGCCTGAGGGGCTTGCCGAATCGGCACGGCGCTGCCGTGCGAATTTTTCGCACTGAGGCCGTATTTGGAGCTTCCTCTGAGGCCCGATCCGCTCGTCATGCTTTTCCTCGAGAGAAGGTGTTTGTGTGGCCCGTTCGGTGCTTGTGTGGTGCCCTGGACCTTGTACATCCTCGAGTCCGGCAGAAGGGGGGGGTAGCCTCCAGGAAGGGACCCAGACCCCCTCCTCGTAGCCGAGAAACAAAAACATGGCGAGCCTCTTAGGGCATCTGAGAATCTCCCTTGGGGGGCTGGCCTGCAGGAAGAGAGCTAGACCCCCTTTCATAGCTGATAAAAGCGCATGACGAGCCTCTGAGGTCATTTGAGGGTCTTTTTTGGAGCTGAAGATTTTCTTCGGGGGGCTGACGGGCTCCTTGAGGGTGCCGAAGAGCTTGGGGCCTCTGGGGAGCTTCTTGCGACCTCTGTAGATTTTCTGGGGGCTTCCGAAGGGTTTATTGGGGCCTCTGGGGGGCCTCTCGCGACCTCTCTAAAATTCCTTGCGGCTCGATGATGATAATGATGATGTGGAGATGATCAGGAGGAGGAGGAGGCGGAGGAGGAGGAGGAGGAGGAGGAGGAGGAGGAGGGGGAGGAGGAGGAGGAGGAGGATGAGGAGGAGATGGAGGAGGAGGAGGAGCTAGTCTTGAGGCTGCTCTGGGGTCCTCTTTGGCCTTCTCGGGGCCGTCTTGGCGCTCTCTTGGGGCCCTCGAGGCCGCCTGGGGGAACTCTTGGGGCCGTCGTGAGGCCATATTGCGCCGTCCAGGGTGTCATTTTATGCTGTCTCGGATCCCTCCAGATGCCTTTTTGGGTCAATTTCACGCCTTATTTGGTAGCTCCAGGGCCGTGTTGAGGCTGTCGTGGGGGCCTCTTCGGCTACTTCGAGGCCCTCTTGGGCCGTCGTGGGACCAGCTTCGAGGCCTCTTGGCCGAAACGGACGCCAGCAACGGCGAGAATGCCAACAACCTTCAACAGTGAAGGCTGGCAGATAAACCCGCTTCTGTTACCATTGCTAGTGCCCCTGGGGCTTTTCTGCTATTACTACATCTACTCCTGCTACTACTACTACAACAACAACAACTACTACTATTACGACTATTACCACTACTACTACTACTACTACTGCTGCTACTACTACTACTACTACTACTACTATTACTACTACTACTACTACTACTGCTGCTGCTGCTGCTGCTGCTACTACTACTACTGCTACTACTACTACTACTACTAGCACTAGTACTAGTACTAGTACTAGTACTACTACTCCTACTGCTATTACTCTTGCTTCTCCTCCTCTTTCTCCATTACTACTACAGCGACGCTTACTGCCGCTACCACTACTCCTGCTACTAGTACTGATACAACTTCTATCCGTATTAGTAGTACTGTTACTACTACTGCACCGAGGACGACGACGACGACTCCTGCTACTACCTCCTACTGGTACTGGTAGTGCTACATTTGGCTCTACTAATGCTGCGCAACAGCGGATACGATTACGACGACTGCCACCACCACCACCACTACGACTACTACTACTTCTACGGCCATTCCCATTACTACTCGGATTATCCGGGCTATTCGGACTACTGATACGCCTTACTACGACCTACCACGACCTACTATTATCTACTACGGCTTACGGCTACGTCTACTACCACCATTCTGACTACCACTATGATGCGCTACTGTTATTACGACTACTGCAGCAACAGTTACTACTACTGCTACTACTACTACTACTACTACTACTACTACTACTACTGCGACTACTACTACGACTACTACTACTACTACCCCTACTATTTCGACGACCATTACTACGACCGCTGCTGCTACCATTACTGCTACTGCTACTGCTACTGCTACTGCTACTGCTACTGCTACTGCTACTGCTACTGCTACTGCTACTACTACTACTACTACTACTACTACGCTTACGTTTACCACGGCGACGAAGACTGCCACGACGACGGCGATGTCTACTGCTATCACTCCGACGATTACTTCTACGACTCCTACTTCTACGATCATTACTGTTACGACTACCACTGCGTTTTTTCTTGCTGCTATCACTGCCACGACTACTGCTACTACTACTCCTAACACTACGACTACCACTACTACTATTATTTTAGACTGCCACTACCACTACCCCTACTAGCACCACGACGACTACTACTACTACTGCTGCTACTACCTCCACTATTTCTATTTCAACGACGACGACGACAACTACTACCAGTATTATTACCACCTCCACTATTACCACTCGTTCGTAACATGATTACCCCCACCTCTAGTACTAGTCGTATTTTTGGTGCTACTACTTTTACAATCACTACGATTTGTACCACGCTTTATGCTTAGTGTTCTCATGTTATCACGATGTTTATTATCACTATTACATCTACTACGACTACGGCTACTACTACAGCTGCTACTACTACTACTACTACTACTGCTTTTACTATTACCACTACTACTATTACTATTGCTACTGCTACTGCTGCGGCCGCTGCTGCCGTCACAACAGATAGTATCAATAGTATTACTGCTACTACTATTACTACGACTACTATTATTATTATTATGAGTACTACTACAAGGACTACTACTACTAGTACGACTACTGATACTGCTACTACTACTACTACTACTACTACTACTACTACGATCACTCTCATTACCGGTACGACGAAGACGACGACGACGACGACGACGACGACGACGACGACGACGACGACGACGACGACTACTACTACTACTACTACTACTACTGCTGCCACTACTAAATGGCTTTCAACACGCTTTAAGTTTGGATGCTGAAGGACAGCTTTGTTTCTGGTCGGGAATGCAACCTCTCAAGAGATCCCAGGGGTTTCCAGCTAACAAGAGAAGGCTTTAGATACTACTTCCCATTGTCGGGCAAGCGCGGGCCACAGTAATACGCATCCAGCCGCGTGCCAGGCCTCACAAACGCGCAATTGGCCACACAAACACCCGACGGGCCACCGCCTCCTTTTGCCTTCTGCCGATCCTCCCCCTCGCGGCATGGGGCCACGAAGCGTGTGATTTATGCGCCGAACTGGGCGGGGGGGACCTCATGCGGTCGCGCGCCCACTGACACCGCAGGGGGAGTTCCCTTCTGGGGCCACGGAGCGTGCGAGGGGAGCGCCGCGCCCGCTGAGACCGTAGGTTGAGCTCCCTGTGGGGCCACGGAGCGCGTGAGGGATGTGCCAGCATGACCTAGACGTGTGCGGAGCAAGAAAAGGAGGCGGAGGAGGAGGAGGCGGAGGAGGAGGAGGAGGAGGAGGAAGAAGTGCAGGAGGGAGCGGGAGGGGAGGAGACGCGTGGCGCTGCGGATTCGAAGCGAGGGCTCTGCCCACACAGGAGGGCTTAGAAACACCACTCCTTCGGAGGTCTGGGTCCGCGCCTCCCCCTCCGACCGTACTGGCGGGAGGCCGCAACCGCGAGAGGATGCAGCCCTTCTCCGCGTCCCAGAAGGCGCGGCGCGGCCTGGCGGCCACCGGTCCGTGCGCGCGCGAGCCCGGTTCAGCCTTCCCAAGCATTTCCTTTGGATGCGGTCAAAACCGTTGTTAAGGAGGGGCCCTTGTCGCAAGGGCACCTTGAAACCTTCGGTCCTGGTCATCCTTAGCACGCTATCGGCTTCCCCAGCTCAAGGGTACCCTTCCTGATGCGTCCTGGCGCGCTGGGGGGCAAGGATGCTGCCTGGCTAGGCTCCCTTGCAGCTTGTTTTTTGTTGATGTATGGGCGTTTTTTGGTTTGTGTGCTTTTCATTTCGGCGCGTTCCAAGGGTCTTGCATCCTTAGACTCCATCCTTATTGATCATTTCGGTTGTAGGAAGTCACACGTGAACTCGATCCCTATTCGTCCGAAACCTGTCAGGTCCCAGGACACGAGTGTGGACTCAGAAGTGCCAAGCGGGCGCGAGCGACGTCGGCCTCTACGGGTGGATGCCTACTGTTCAGTTCTTCGGCAGCAGTATTGTGAAGGCTTCACCGCTGGTGCCGCCGACCCTGGCGGCGGGACCTCCCCGGGAACCTCAGGGTCCCCTCCTGGGGCCCCGGGGCCGGGACCAGGGCCAGCCCCTCCCCACGAGGAACCTCTCCCTTCAGAGGCGACGATAGGGGCGAATAGCCCAGGGGAGAGCAGTACGTGTATTCAGGTGCGCCGACGATCCATGTCTTCGAGAAAGCTCCCGGGCGAATGCGTGTAATGCCCGCCCCTGGGCTATTCGCCCCTGTCGTCGCTGCCGCAGTTCTGGTCGCCCTCCAGGACCTGCTGGGACCCCAGGGGGCGGTAATCAGACCCAGGGCCGTCCCCTTTGCCCCCCCCACCCGTGCCTTCCCTTCCCCCGCTCGACTGTGGGCCAACCCGAGACGTGCTGACCACCCTCCCTCCGTCCCTGTCAAAAAACAAGACAGAATGCCCTTTGACTCCACATCCACAGAGCATGCGCGGGCGCCCCGCGACCACTTTGCAGGAGCTTTTGACAAGGACGGCGGGGGTGCCGTCATATTGCTCGCTGCTCGCAGGCCCACCATCCCTTTCAAACCAAAAATACATAATGCCTTTTGGCTCCACATCTGGAGCATGCGCGGGCGCCCCGCGACCATTTTGTATAGGTTTTTAACGGACGTCGGGGGTGCCGTCATATTGCTCGCTGCGCGCAGGCCAACCATCCCTGTCCAAAAACCATACTCCATTCCCTTCGACGCCACATCTGGAGCATGCGCGGGCGCCCCGCGACCACTTTGCATCAGTTTTTGACAGGACGGCGGGAGTGCCGTCATATTGCTTGCTGCGCGCAGGCCAACCATCCTTGTCAAAAATCAATGCAGACTGCCCTTTGGCTCCACGCCCAGAGCGTGCGCGGGCGCCCCGCGACAACTTTGCATAAGTTTTTGACAGGGACGCCGGGGGTGCCGTCATATTGCTCGCTGCGCGCAGGCCAACTATCCCTGTCAAAAATCAATGCAGACTGCCCTGTGGCTCCACGCCCACAGAGCGTGCGCGGGCTCCCCGCGGCCACTCTGCACAGGTTTTTGACAGGACGGCGGGGGTGCCGTCCTATTGCTCGCGGCGGGCAGGTCGCCCACCCCTGTCAAAAATCAGTGCAGAATGCCCTCCGACGCCACATGTGGAGCATGCGTGGGCGCCCCGCGACCACTTTGCATCAGTTTTTGACAGGGACGGCGGGGGTGCCGTCATATTGCCTAGCCGTGGAGGACGTGCCGCACCTGGCCTCCAGGGTGCCTGGTGCACCTGGAACCCGTGGTGCACATGGCATGCGTGGCTCTCCGAGGCAATATACTGAGACTCCCCCGGGTGTTACTTATGTGTTGGAGGGACGGGTGGGAGTGAGCGAGACGACTTGCGGACGAAGGGGGGGCCTCGAACCTCCCCTGCCCCCCCTTACCCCCCCTGCCCCACTCCCGTCAGGGAAGGGAGCAAGGGAAGGGAATCGACTTCACTACGACGTCGACGTTGTTTTTTTTATGGTTGTTCCTCTTCCTGGGACCGGCGACGGCGACGACGACGACGAAGACACACGCCGAAGGATCGGCAGATTTCGCATTGGTGTTGCGTTCAAGTTGTGTTGACACTAGCACAGTCGTTGCGCTTGCACTGCTGTTGCATTGTTTTTGTATTTCGTTATTGCTGTTGCATTGCGTTTGCATCACTGTGTCATTCCAACGCGTTGCATGTCATGGTATAGCATTGCCTTGCATTGATGCTTCAGTGTGTTTCATTGTTTTTAGTGCCATTGCGCTGCATTTGCATTTCGTTGCACTGCGTTGTATTGCATGGTGTGACACTACTCTGTTGCTTCGCATTGATACGGCAGTGGTTTCCGTTGCTTGTTCATTGCCATTGCATTGCTTTCTGCATTGCGCTCTGCATTGCACTCGCATTGCTTTTGCATAGCACCTGCATTTATGTGGCATTGCGTTGGTTTTGCATTGTATTTGCCTTCGGTTGCATTTCTTTTGCGTTGCTCCCCATCCTATTCCATTGCGCTGCATTAAGTTGCACCGCGTTGCATCGCGTTGCTTTTTCATGGCTTTCCATTGTGTTGCTTTTGCGCCGCACTGCTTTTACATTGCTTTTGCATCCTATGGCTTTCCATGGCACTGCTTTGGCATTGCTGTCCGTTTCGTCACATTGTAGTTTGTCTTGTGCTACACTTGTTTGTTAGTCAAAGCTAGTCCCGAATCGGGGTTGCGCCATATTCAATTTTCCAGCACGCCGAATGCCTGGGTCGCGTCCTCTCGCAGGTGAGCCTACGAAGTGCCTCACAAGCACGCGCGTGCTCGTTGTTCGAGGAAGCGGGCTGGCCAGGTATAGTAGGATCTTCGCCCCCAAGTCTCGGGAACCGCACTGGTCGGCTGTTTGGGGGTGGAAGGATGATGATGATGATGATGATGATGATGATGATGATGATGATGATGAGGAGGAGGAGGAGGAGGAGGAGGAGGAGGAGGAGGAGGAGGAAGAGGGGAGGAGAGGAGGAGATAGATGTGGAGAGAGGAGGAGGAGGAGGAGGGGGGAAGGAGGAGGAGGAGGAGGAGGAGGAGGAGGAGGAGGAGGACAAGCAGGAGGTAGGTGAGGAGTTGGAGGAGGAGGAGGAGGAGGAGCTGGAGGAGAAGGGGAATTGTAAGAACGAGCAGTCGGCAGAACAGGAGGATATTCTCGGGACATGACTGTTCTGCATTTTCTCGGGGCCATCCGCCAAATGAACAAACATATGTGCGGAAGAGGAGGAGGAGGGGAAGGAGGAGTAGGACGACGAAGATGTGGTGGAGAAGCGGGATGCTTCGTAGGTGTGGACTGATGGGCCATCAGGGCGTTGAGGCAAGCAGCTGCTATATTGAAACGCATGCACCCCACGTGCGACCCTTTGGATATCTGCTTACGGCAGAATTTTGAGCCTCCACTTAGTCAATGTTCCATTATCCTAGCATGTTTGGTCAGCGCTCAAAAGAATGTGTCCGGGCGATCCGTAGTCAAGCCATTTTGGCACGAGACCTTGTTTGCCTCAGCAATTGGGTCAAACCTTTCTGCTTCAGGGCGAGCAGCCTTAGCGACGAGCTCATCCAACTCGAACCCTTGGTTCTAGCCCATCCAGATGTGGGTACTGCCTTTGGGGAGGGATACAAACACACGCATACTTTTGCGACGCGTGTGTGGGCTCGTCTTCCACCCAACACGCGGCATGTGATCATCATGGTGGGAAGCTTGTGTCTAGGGGGGAACAACCATTAATTGGAGTTTACTAAGCGGCCCTGGGCGTTCACTAAACAGCCCTGCCCGGTTCGATTCCTTCTGTTGATGCGTTTACCAAATGGCTTCGCCTGTCGGGGTGATTATTATGGGGGTGTATTTCCTTCCCTCTATTTTGGGAAGGGCCCAGGGTGGATGTCGACAGTTGCCGGGTGTGTGCGTGACATGTGCTCTTGTGTGCGGGGCCAGAAGCCAGGGGGTTCTGCAGGCGCGCAAAGTGTTTCTGATAAGGTGCTGGTGGGTGCAACGGAGTGCGGACCAATGAGGGCTGTCGTTTGGCGGGGCACGCTACGAGGACGGGCTTTGTGAGTGCAGTAGGGTCAACATGCTCCACCACGGGCTTTACACTTGCTCTAGGGACGATCTTAGGCAAGCGCGCACCCAATCTGGTGCCCCGCCTGAACACATCCAGGCAGCGCTGCCCTCACGCCCGAATCTGGGGCGAGTGAAACTCGTGTTGTAGCATCCCACGCTACATCTTACCACCAACCAATCCACCCCAACCCACCCCGAAGGCCTCAATTTGCCCTCCACCCCCAGTGTGGGGGGGTCGGGGAACATTGAGAACACATATATAAAACCCCGTACCCCCCCCAACCCGAAATTCGGGTCTTCGGGTTGGGTTGGGGTGGTCTGGTAGGTAGTCAACATCTTATCGCACCTCTGCTTGCCTCTCGTATGCTGGAACCTTGCCCAGGGGGGCCCGGGGCGGCATCACAGCAGGGGCCCCCAAGGTCCCCCTCCTCCTCCTCCTTTTTCTCCTCCTTCTCCTCCTCCTCCTCCTCCTCCTCCTCCTCCTCCTCCTCCTCCTCCTCCCCCCCTCCGGGCCCCCTCCCCCCCTGGGGCCTCCCTGGAGCCTGCCCCAGAATCGTGGCCTCTTGCAGCCATGAAAGGCCCTCTCGAGGGCCGTGGTGCCTCTCTCGTGGAGGCCCTGGGCGCCAGGAAGCAGGTGCACGCCCCTTGGCCGGCACCCTTTGCTGATGCATGCTGTACTGTTCGAGGTCTACAGACTCTGTGTAGGTACAGATGAGCAGGCTGACGAAGAAACACGAACGTGATGGCGTCCACGCGCCCTGCTACGCGAATCCGCCGCTTTGGGGCCCACGCGCCAGCATCATTTTGCGAATACGTATCACAATCTTTTCACGCCAGGTTTCGCAGCACTCCCAAGCGCACTGCGAACGTTTCCCACGAGCACCGATACTTTTCACCACGGGCAGGGGCTGAGACCGAAAATGGGGCTCTGACGGGGCGACGCGGGCATTGCGCAGAAGTCGGGGAAGTGCGCGGGCAGGGCGAGAGGCAAGCCAAGTGAAAACAACGTAACTTTGTTTTCACAGTCTCGATGTGTGGGGTGCCAGCGCAAATTACGCATCTTTTCGCAGCGCCTCAGCTGTTCACCATCCGTTTCGCTTTCGAATCGTATGCGGCACTACTCGCCTTCACCTCATAATTTTGCGGATCGGTCCTGCAAGTCTCCAGCTTTCGAGTCAGGCTGCCCTTGTGCAACTGCTAGCTGCTTTGCTTCGTCGCCAGCAATTCGGACCACAACGATCAACCCGTCGTCACTTCTCCACCTCCGCCCGTGCTTCCGCGGGATCTGGGGGACCGCTCTGGGATCGGGTCACGCTGCGCCGCGGTGCCCTCCACCGACCAGGTCATATGCACAAATCGGCTACACAGTGCATTCACCACCTCTCGGGCACATACATTCATCATGCGTTCCTTTCGAGCCGACGTAATTCAGTGCATGCGAAAGCGTGTGAAGTGTGGCCCTTCAGGGAATCGCTCACACGTGCCTGGGATACCCCCGTGACGAAAATCTTGTCACACTCTCTCGTTGGTGTGAAAAGCAAGCCTAGAGATGTATTTTCATGCGCAGGGGGTCGTCGCTTCAGAGCGCCTGGGGGTGATGTGTCCGTTCGCCCCCCCTGAAAGGTACGGCGGTGTGCCCCCTGCCTCCCGGCGATGCTCCCCTCCTACGCCAAGATTCTCGCTACCACCGTGTCAGTGTTTGCAGCCTGGGCGACGATTCGTGGCATGCTTAGGAACGTTTTGGTTACTGATCTTGACCTGAAGTCTCCGGAGGGGACTGTCTCCTGTCTGCGCTCGGGGAGAAGATGGCCACGGATCGGTGAAGGAGGACTATGGTCATATGAAGGGGGCGAGTTCGCACAATGGTGGGCGTATGATCACAATCCAGAAGCTGTGTTTGGTACGGTGGAGATGACTGTTCAAGAGTGTTCAACAATAACTGTTCCGTTGGATGGCCTGGCTGATTTAAGTGCTGGCTATCCAGATCCGATCCATGAGAAGCATCAGCATCCAACTTTTTCTCGACTGGCAGCTGCAATCGTCGCGTACATCCTATCATTCCTTCTGGCTGTTTGGGTTGCGTGTCACGACTTCGCCCTTATATCATACAATTGCCCAATCTGTGTTTCCACGCGCAAGGCATATGAGGACAATTTCGATTTAACCCTCGCGAAAGAGAGGACAAGGGTTTCAAGCCATCTCCAATCCATCCTGGATGTTGAAGGATTCAAGAACACTTTTCCGAAATTCTGGCGCATCTCTCAGAGCATTGTTGCTTGTGGTTGCGGCGCGAACTGCTGCCCTTGTCCTGGGGATGGGAATATCCAGCTGCCTGCGGCACGTCCCCCCACCATGCTAGCCCAGTATTCTGGATGGCCACCGTTCGAGGGGGTATAGAAGGCCGTCAGGTGTGACACCGCGTGTCTCCATGGTTGGGGGAGCTGTGACGATGATGCTCTGCTGCTGCTGTTGCTGATGGTGATGGTGATGATGATGATGATGATGATGATGATGATGATGATGATGATGGGGACGATGATGATGATGATGATGATGATCATGATCATGATGATGATGATGATGATGATGATCATGATGATGATGATGATGGTGATCATGATGCTGATGATGCTGACGATGACGATGATGATGATGCTGAGGAGGAGGATGAGGATGAGGATGGTGACGATACTGATGCTGCTGCTGCTAATGATGATGATGAGGATGATGATGAGCATGCTGATGATTCTGATGATACTGATGCTGCTGCTGCTGCAGATGCTGATGATGCTGACGATTCTGATGATGATGATGATGATGCTGATGATGATGATGATGATGATGATGATGGTGACCACGATTATGATCATGTTGATGGTGATGGCGATGGTGATGGCTATTATGCTGATGATGCTGATGACGATTACATTGATCATGGTGGTCATGATGATGACGGTGCTGATTGGATGATGATGGTCATGGTGAGGTTGACGGTGCTGTTTTTTGATGCTTATAACAATTCTGTTCTTGATGATGGTGATGATGATATTGCTGTTGCTGCTGATGATGCTGATGCTGATGACACTGCTGATTTTCACCATGACGATGTTGATGTTGATGTTTATGCTCTCCAAGTAGGCTTGCCCCATAGGAGGTCTAACTCAAACCCTACTATTTGATCCGCTGCGCCCCCCCCTAATTCCTATGCCCCCCTCCCTAATTCCTATGGCTATTTCCAATGCTTCCCCAGCTGTTTCCAACGGCGAGTCCCATGGATTCCCATGGATTCCTATGAGTCGCATGGATTCCTATGCTTGCTTGCTCTTGCTTGCTTGCTTGCACGTTCTTGCTTGCTTGCTTGCTCTTGCGTGCTTGCTCTTGCACACTCACTTGCACCTACTTGCTTGCTCTTGCGTGCTTGCTCTCGCTTGCTTGCTCTTGCCCTTGCTTGCTTGCACGTGATCGCTGGCTCTTGCTTGCTTGTTATTGCTCGCTTGCGCTTGCTTGCTTCCGCTTGCTTGCTTGCGCTTGCTTGATTTTGCTCCGCCCGTCCTCCTCCCGCCCTGCTCCCGTCCTCCTTTCGTCCTCCGCCCATCCTCCTCTCGTCCTCCTTATGTCCTCCTATCTTTTTGGAGTCACCGCTGGCTGATATTGTTGCTGATGATGACGATTATGATCATGATGATGATGATGATGCTGACAACGATATTGATGATGCTGATGCTGATGATGATGATTCTGCTGGCGATCATGCTGATACTGATGATGGTAGCGATGATGATGCTGATGCTGATGCTGATGACGATGCCGATGATGCTGATCACTATGATGCTGATGCCGATGTTAACAAGGTTGATGGTGGTGATGAGGATCATGCTAGGGAGGGTGATGCTGAGTTTGATGAGCATGATGGTAATGTTGATGTTGGTGATGTCGATGATGCTGCTGTTGCTGCTGGTGATGATGCTGAGCTTGACGATGTTGAGGATGGTGGTGACGAGGAAGAGGATGAGGGTGATGATGCTGCTGCTCATGATGTTGCTACTGCTGCTGCTGCTGCTGCTGCTGCTGATGATGATGATGATGATGATGATGCTGATGATACTGATGATACTGATGCTGCTGCTGATGATGCTGATACTGATGATGCTGCTGCTGATGATGCTGATGCTGATGACGACGACGATACGGATGAAAATGCTGGTGGTGGTGATGATGATGCTGATGGTGGTGGTGGTGATGATGATGGTGATGGTGGTCGTGGCGGAGGTGGTGGCGGTAGTGGTGGTGATGACGAGGACGCAGAGGAGGAGGAGGAGGAGGAGGAGGAGGAGGAGGCGGAGGAGGAGGAGGAGGAGGAGGAGGAGGAGGTGGAAGAGGAATGCTGTCACAGGCGACATCTGTGGCCTTCACTGTTTGAGAAGCCCTCATGGAACTCATTTGGGCAGTCTTGGCGCTGTCGTAGCTTCCTGTGAAGCAGTCTTGGGGTCTTGGGGGTCCCTTAGGGCTTCTTAGGCCGTCTTGGGGCTCGCTTGGGCTCTCTTGGGGTCCTTTCGGCCGTATGTGTCTGGGGGCCGTCGATAGGGGCCGTCTTGGGTCATCGAACGGCCTTCCAAGGCTGTCTTGGGTTCCACGGGAGGCTCTCTTGGGCCGTCTTGCGGCTGTTTTGGATGCCTCTTGGGCCATCGCGGGCCCCCTGGGGCCATTTTGCGACCCTCTTGAGGGCCTCTTGGGTCGTCTTGGGGCCATCGTGGAGGCTTCTTGGGCCATCTCGAGCTGACGGAAGTCCGAAAAGGCGAAAGTGCGAGACTGATTCAAACACCCAAGGTGGATCAGTCTTGAGGTCATACTGGGCCGCAGTAGGGCCATCTCGGGCCGTCTTCGAGCCATCTTGGGCCATCTTGGTGCCCTTGGTTGCTCGGGACGCGGATCCATCATTCTTCGTAGCGGAAATGCAGAAACACTACCAGACAACCCTTGGCATCCTTCCACGCCTCAACGTGCACAAGGCACGGTGGCGGATTAGTAGGCCACGGTGTATCATCGCTTATGTTTTCAGCGTCATTGCATTCGTGACCCTGGTGTGCCCACTGGTAGTTCTGTTGGGAACCTTGGACTACTTATGCTGCATCGTCTTCGTCTGCAAGAGGCCTCTCAAGGAGCGCGCGCGGCTCAGCCGCCTCGTTGTCTTCTGCCTGTGCTGTATATCCTCGGCGATGTACCTGGCGATCAGCGTTGATGTATTTCTCTACGTCATCTGGTGGCCTTTGGCCTATCCCGCCGCCATGCTTCGGCCATGGGCAGGGGCGCATCTGCCGTGCTGGCCTGCCGCGCCGGTGCCGCGCGCCGGCCCGACGCGTCTCGCCGACCTGCCTGCCTGTGTGCTCTGCTCCGGCGGGCGGCTGCCCTGCCGTGCGGGGATGGTCCGCCGCGTCGACTGGCGCGCCCGTCCGCCCCGCTGCGCGCCCCCCGCTGAGGGGGCGAGGAGAGGAATCGTGCAGCCTGCGCGGCCGAGGCCGCGCGAAGGAGGCAACACGCCACGGGCAGGAGCGAGCGCGGAGGCGAGCTGCGGGGCTGCCCCCCCCCCCCCCCCGCGATGGGGCCAGGAGGGGCGTCACGCAGCCGGCGCGGCCGAGGAGGAGGCGAGGGGGAGGCGTCGCGCAACAGGCACGTGCGAACTAGGAGGCGTGGAGCGACTGAAGGCCACATCGTATTCCCAGCCATGCTGATGGAGGGCATCCTAAGGAGTGCACCCTACGGAAGGCACCCTACGGAAGGCACCGCACGGTGGGCTCCTGCGGTCGGGAGTGCTGCGAGTTGTTGCGATGTTGGCCTGTGGGGATATTCTCGGAGTCATCTGGGCGGCCTCTGCGGGGCCCTCAGGGGTTGTCCAAGAAGTTTTTTTTTTTTTTTATGTGTGGGGGGGGGCACGACGTATGTGGACGAAGGTGACGGAGGAAGGAGGGAGTGGCGGACCAGGCATCGGGGGAGGAGTCGGAGGAGGATGCGGATCACGAGACGGAGGTTCAGGAGGAGGAGGAGGAGAGAGATAGGAGCGAAAAAGGAGGAGGAGGAGGAAGAAGAGGAGGAGGAGGAGGAGGAGGAGGAGGAGCAGGAGGATGAGCACTGGCGAGGTTCGCATTGGTCTCCACCGCATTGGTCTCCTCGTGAGGTTCGCTCGCTGGGGCCGCAGACGGAATGGTCCCGGTGGGCGGCGGATCGCGTCTTGTGTTCTCCGACACGCGACGCAGCACACAGCAGACAGTAGAGCATCGGCGGTAGAATGGGGACTAGTTGCAGGAGGCGATTCGCAGCAGACGGATGTTGCTGCGAAGAGGACATGAGCACATGACAACACAGGAAGGCCATAAACCACGGACGCACACTCGTAACATTTTAGCTGTGTGCGTAATGAGTTCCGACCCTGACCCCAAACAAATAGTGACACATAGGTTGCACTGGCCTGCCCCGATGGTGTGCTGACTCGTTTTTCTCGGGCGTAGCCCGACTTTGCTTCTCGCGAGGTAAACTGACTGAACTGAACTAAACAGACTGGTCGCACCCGTTACGCGGCCGCAGGGCGCTACCTATGGCGCAACAGGTAGGAGACGGTTTTATTATTGGCCGCCGAGGGCGCAACCTATGGCGCAACCGGTAGGAGATGGTTTTATTATTGGCCGCCGAGGGCGCAACCTATGGCGCAACCGATAGAAGATTGTTTCTACACGACAGGCTTCCGCCATTCCGCTGGCATCCCTGCGGCAGGGTCCGTGACCTGGTCCGGCGTTGAGCCGCTCTCTTGAACCGCAAGCGGGCCAGCGAGGGCGTCGAGGACCGAGGTGCCAGGAGAAGGAGGATGAGCAGGAGGAGTAAGAGGAAAAACGGGGACGAGGTCGTAGACGAGGACGACGAGGAGGAGCTGGAGCGGGAGGAAGACGAGGAAGACGAGAAGGATGAGGAGGACGAGGAGGAGGAGGAGGACGACGATGACGATCAGGATGGGGAGGAGGGCGGGGAGGAATACGAGTATTACGAGGACGAAGTGTGGGCATTCGAATGCGTGCGGGGCTACGCTCGATTTATGCTCGCCGGTTGGGCTGGCGGTGGGGCCCAAGCGGCGTGCTGTCTTGTGATTGTTTTGAGCCTGCCCGAAGCATTTTGACGCACATAGGTTGAACAGACATGTGCCGATGGTGCCCAACCTTGATCTCGATGAGTTCTTGGCCCGCCCAAGACTGTTCGGTACGCGTGAGTTGCACGACTATGTATCCAAGACCTCTATGGTCCCAAGCAGTGCCCATACTTGCTTCCAATCAGTGCGCATTAGCTGCAGAGGCCTATCCCGATGAGGGCCCGTCCTGTGTTCGATACCCAGGGTTGAGGATCACGGCGCAGGTTGCAAGGTCGTGTCTGGATAGTGCCCCAATGGTTCTCAATACGTTCCGACCCCGCCCAACGCATTTCGGGACACATAGGCCGCACGGGCTGGTCCTGAATAGTTTTCAATGGGCTCCGACCTGGCTCAACTAACTATGGCCACGCAGATTACACGTTTGTCCCGATGAAGTGTCGACTCATTGTCTGACGAGTTCCGAGCCCGCCCGACAAAATCCGGACACGTGGGCTGCTGTCTGGATGGCTTCATGATTAGTTTTCGGTGGGCCCCGACTCCGCCCAAATTAAGTGTGGGCCTATCGGTTGCGCCGCCCTGTGCTTGATGGTGTCCACACAAGATTTTTTCTCCGACGGGGTCGATGCACGTGTTGAAGCGTGCTCTCGTGGATCGAGCATGGCTCAGACCCTGATTCGACTCTCGCCTTTCTCGCTGACTAGTGGGATGTTCGTCGGGTGATTTCGCTATGCCCTCGTGGTCTTTTCCTCCTCCTCCTCCTCGTCCTCCTCTGATATACATATATACACATATATAGATCCATATGTATGTGTACATAAACATATACACATAGGTATTTGTATTTGTACATGTATGTATGTAAACACACATATTATATATACACAGAACTTCTATATTTTGAGAATCTGGGGGGTACGCCCCCCCCAAAACGGGACCCCCTGGATTCGTGGCCCTGGGGGCCCCCTGGACGCCTCTGCAGAAGCCCCCCCAGGTTTTCCGGGGCTCCTGGAAGCCCCTGCTGGGCCTGGTAATGGGCCCAAATGTGTCACCAGGGCGGCCGAACGGCCCCGCGAGGGCCCCAAGAGGCCCCAGACATCCACGAGACGCCCGTATGCGACCCAAAGGAGACCCTCAAGAGGCTTCCGAAACGCCGAGAGCACGGATTTCCGATTGCTTCTGTATGAGATTTCGGGGGTATTCTGCCCTTCGGCCTTCGGGGCGTCCGAGACCGCCCAGGAGGCCTGATCATCGCCCCGTGGCTATTCGAAAGGGCTCTCGTGCAGTCCAAGAGAGCCCCTAAGATGGCCAACACGCGGCCCCAAGATGGTCCGAACAGAGCCCCCCCCATGACGATCCAAGATGGCCGCCAGACGCCCCCCGAAGCATTCCAAATCGTGACCTGGTCATGCAGGAAGACCGTGGTTGGGAGCAGGGCGGCCCGAGGACGCACTCAGAGGCCTCCAGAGGGCGCCAAGGAGGCCCCCAGAAGGTCCCAAGAAGCCCTCGAACACTTTCGTGAGACTGCCAAGGGGCTCTCCAGGAACCTCCGCAAAAAGAGCTCAGGAGAATCGGGAACACATCGCAGGGTGTGAGGGAAGGATGTTTGATAGCACGACGATGTCGGGACAGGTATCGCTAACTTTTCGGTTTTACCTTCCTGTCCTTCCGTCTGCATGCCCAATTTCAACGACCAAGGTGCATGGCGCGAATCGTCGATGCAGTCTTGTATTAAGATCGAACACGCCTACGGCGAATCACCGCCGCCCCCTGCCTTTGGGGATACGCCTATGTGGCCAAACGTTTGGGCAAACTTTGGTCACGCTGTTGGACCATACGTTCCCCCAGCCGTTGTGGAAGTCCCTCGGGGCAGGGAACACGATGGGAATGAAGAGGAGGGTGAGGAGAGGGAAGAAAAGGAGGATACGGAGAAGGATGAGGAGACCCCTTTGGGACCTCTGGGACCTGGGAGCTTCTTGGGGGCCTCTTGGGGGGCCTCTGGGGGCTTCTTCTGGGCCGCTTGGGGGTCCTTTGGGCCTCTTGGGAACTTCTTGGGGGCTTGCTGGCGATCTCGGGGCCCCCCTTGGGGCGGAGGGCTCGAAATCTCAGCTCGAGTTCCCCATCTTGGGGCCCTCTTGGGGCCCTCTTGGGGTCCTCTTGGGCCGTCTTGGGCGCCTCTTGCGCCGTCTCGGGGCTTCTTGAGCCGTCGAGGGGCCCTCTTGGGGGCCTGTTGGGCCGTCTTGGGGCGATCTTGGGGGCTTCCTGGGCCGTCTGGGACGCTGTGCAAGCCCAAGAGGCGAACATGTTGGACGTATAAGTTTTCCTTAGGGCATGGGGCGACTTTTGCCTTTCAGGGTGCTCTCGGGGCCCTCTTGAGGCGTATGGGCCGTCTTGAAGTTGTTTTGGACCGCTCCAGGGTCCTCTTTGGCCATCTGGGGCGGTTCTCGAGACGCTTTGGAGGATTCGGGAGGTCTTCTGTGGCCGGCCGGGGAGCTCCCAAGAGTCCCCTAGAGCTCCCAAGAGCCGCTGGGAACTTCTGGGACATCCCGGGAGCGGCTGGGAAACGGGGAGACTTGGCCCTTATAGCCCTGCAAACCCTCTCCCTCTCAGGGCTGGAGGGCTTCATGCGCCTTCCGACACTCCACTGCGTGCTGAAAGCATGGTGGCGGACACACACACACACATATATATAGATATATGTTTGTATATTTACATATAAATATATACACATACTCATACAACCATACAATGCTTTCTTGAGCTGCGAGCCCGCCCAGCAGGATCTCCCAAGTTCCCTTGCTGGCCACCCTCAATCCAGTTGTTGCCTTCTCCACCTTGCGCACCTGCCGCGCCTTTGCGTCCTCAGTTGCCACCCTGTGGACCTTCGGGGAGCTCGCCTGCAGCACGTGTGACCTTGGCGTTTGCTGCATGCTCATGCGTGCTCATCGATATCATACGCTGCCTGTTCACACCGAGAGATATTCAGTCTTTCGAGAAAACAGTTTTTTCCAGAACACCCCATTACGCGCCATGGGCGCGGTGCAGGATTTTACCCGGCCGACCTGATGCAGACTTGTATGCAGTAGTTTTCCACCAAGGAGATGTTGTGTGTGGTTGCCATTATCCAATGTCCCACAAGAAGTACACTCAAGTTGCGTTCATCATGCTCGGCAATGCGCTGCTCTGCGTTGGGATTGGTACCAAGACATTGAAAGGTCTCCGTTGTTCAAATTGGGCGACCCTCCTCACTTGTGTGTTCCCTGTGCCCATCGCACTCTATCCAGTACAGTGGAAGTGCAGTGGCGAATTCATCCAGCACCGCGGCCCTGCTGCTAATTTCATTCAGCCAGTGCAGGCAGAGCCTGCCTTTGACCCCTTCGCTTTGTTGGATGAGCAGCCTAACAGTATTGGAACACATCTCACAATCCAGCCAGACGAACCCCCTTCGGAAGACGCACGAGTCAATACGAACCACAGCAGGAACATCGAATGTTGCGGATTCCCATGGAGGCTCCTTGCAGGGACAAGCGCTCGCGTCAACGCGCGGGATCACGATCTCGCTAAGGGCTTGTTGGCCTGATGCGCGACAGCTTTGGAGCTTGCCAGAGCAAAGGAGCAATAGCGCGGCTGTGCTGAACACAGGAAGAGCATGGTCTCGCGAACGGTCTGGGAGCGAACGCACGTTTCAGCAATTGTGGCGTCATCGAGGCGTGTTGCGTGTTCTGAGGGCTGGTGCGTGGCCGACTCTCCGCGATCTGCTTGCGACGGCTGCTCACCTGTCATAGCCGGAGCGCAGCCTCCGAGCGGGCGCCTTTCGCTTGGGCGGCCGCATTTCCCCCGACCCTCCACACCATCGGTTTTGCTTAAAAGAGCTTTGGAAAACGGTAGCTGGGCAGCGACTGCGGCGACCTGGGCCGCTGCATGGGTGTACAGCGGACACCCATGCCAAGAAACACCCTGCTTGCCTCCAGGGTGCCCTGGGTTATTTGGGTCTCGGTGGTTCTGCTATGGAGAGCGTCACGTTCCCGCGCCAAAAGTCAGTGGACGTCCTGGGGTCTGAGGGTTGGGTTTTTCGTGGAAGGTTTCTTGTGGACTGACCTCCACTGTGTCGGAGGGCTTCCGGGAGGTGGCCCCAGGCCCAGACCCCCACAAGTCGCGAAGAGCGGAAGACTGCTGTCAGTCCTTGGCCTCAGGGGGTCTTTGCCAGGCCCAGGGGCAGTCGAACAACTCCTCCTCCTCCTCCTCCTCCTCCTCCTCCTCCTCCTCTTCCTCCCCCTCCTCCTCCTCCCTCCTCCTCTTCCTCTTCCTCCTCCTCCGCTTCCTCCTCCTCCTCCTCCTCCTCTTCACATGCGGGTCCCCGGGGAAGGGTCGAGACCGCTGGGGGTCAGCGTACGCAAGCGGCTCCGCTCGGGATCTCCAGTTGCAGGAGCGCGTTGGCGGTGCGGAGACCTCTTGCCGGAACCTATCCGTGTGATCGCGTGTCCACGGGATGGCGCCTGGGTGTCCAGACCGCGAGGGCATGGACATCCGACGATGTGTTTGTTGTTGTCGCTGCTGTTGTTGCTGCTGTGGTTATTGTTTTTTTGGTGTTGTTGTTGTTTTTGTTGTTGGCTGTTCTTGTTATTCATGCTGTTGTTGTTGTTGTTGTTGTTGCTGTTGTTGTTGTTGTTGTTGTTGTTGCTGCCGCTGCTGTTATGGTTGTTGCTGTTGTTGTTGTTGTTGTTGTTGGTGTTGTTGTGTTTTTGTCGTTGTTGTTGTTGTTGTTGTTGTTGTTGTTGTTGTTATTATCGTTGTTGTGTTTGTTGTTGTTGCTGCTGTTGTTGCTGCTGCTGTTGTTCATGTTGTTGTTGTTGCTGCTGCTGTTGTTGCTGTTGTTGCTGCGGTTGGTGTTATTGTCGTGCTTTGTGTTGTTTTTGTTTTGTTTGGTTGCGGTTGTTGTGGTTGTTGTTGCTGCTGCTGTTGTTGTTGTTGTTGCTGTAGTTGTTGGCTGTCGTCGTTGTTGTTGTTGTTGTTGTTGTTGTTGTTGTTGTTGTTGTTGTTGTTGTTGTTGTTGTTGTTGTTGCCGTCGTCGTCGTCGTCGTCGGTATCGCCGTTGTTCTTGTTGCTGTTGTTGCTGTGGTGGTGGTTGTTGTTATTGTTATTGCTGTGGTTGTTATGGCTGTTGTTGTGTCTGTTGCTGTAGCTGTTGGCTGTTGTTGTTGTTGTTGTTGTTGTTGTTTTTATTGTTGTTGTTTTTGCTGTTGTCGTTTTTGTTGTTGTTGTTGAGGCTGTTTCAATCGGCCATCCCAGAGTCAGCGGAGGGCGAGATGAGACAACCGTTGTTGGCCTTCGGCGACCTCCTCGTCGCGGGGGAGGAGGAGGATGATGATAATGAGGAGGATGAGGAGGATGAGGAGGAGGAAGAGGAGGAGGAGAAGGAGGAGGAGGAAAAAGAAGAGCAGCTACCGTTCTTCAGATTGACGACATTTCGATGCCTGGCCTGGCGGGGCTGCGCCCCTCCCTTCGAGGCGGCTCCGCTACCAGAGCGGAAACAAGATATTGCTTTCTCCTTGAGCCCCGATGCGAACACGGGTGAACATCCACTGGTGTCTCTGCTTGCTACCATTCCTGCCTACCCACACGGATATGATACAAATACTACCTCTGATCAGAGCTGAGTTCTAGATCCCTCCTCCTCCTCCTCCTCCTCGCTCCCGATCTTCGCTTCCTCGTCCTCCTGCTCCTCCCCGTCTGCACTGTCGACTGGCCTTTCATCTGCAGCGCTGGTTTGGGGTCCACGCTGCCGATGCGGCGACGATGGACTGGGCGGCCGTTGCGGCGGTGATGCATCGCGTCTCTTCCTCGTGGCGCAGTGCTTGCATCAAGACGGGGGGGGGGCTGGATCATTGAGTCAAGGATACGTATTCCGTACAAGGGGGTGCGTCTGGGGATGTCCTGGGGTTCGCGACTCGCTGAAACATTACTTTTGCGGGTGTTCGCCGATGTAGATGCTCGTCTTTCGCCAACTAGGATATGATTTTCCTGCGCTTCCGTTTTGGGACCCCCTCCTGGTTCTGGGCTTGAGCCGCCCTCATCCCGAGGCCTTGAAATGTACGACGTTCTGCTTCCATCTTTACAGGCTGGCCCATCAGGAGAGTAGGACTCGAGCTGTACCAAACGATGACGATGATGACTCTTCTTGCGCCCGAGCGGCTTTACAGGCGGTCGAGCTACCCCTCGGCGGTCCTCGCCGCAGGAGGCCTCGTCTTCGTCGTCGGGCCTAGCCATGTCGGAGACACGCGGTCCCCCAGACGCTCCAACCTCCTCTTCCTTGCTTCCCCCCCCCCGCTCCGCCTCCTGACCCCCCCCCCTTGGCGACGACGCCGACGCCGACGGCGATGACGACGTCGGCGCCGAGCGCGGTGCCGGCGGCGACGCCGGCAGTGACCAGCGGCGGCGGCCACCGCCGCCGAGGCGCGGCAGCTGCTGTCCAGCTGCCCGGGGCCCGCGCCTCGGCGGCCGCTGCCGGAGGCGTTGAGGCAGCAGGCGGCCCCGCCGCCGTCGCCGCCCACCGTCGTCGCCGTCCGCCTGCGCCGCCGCTGGCGCCGCCGTTGCCGCCGCCCGCTGCCGCACAACCCGCTGCTGTCGCCGCCGCTCGCCGCCGCCAACAGCGCCGCCCGTTGCAGCCATCGGCGCCGCTGTCTGCGTCGCCATTGGCGTCGTCGGGAGGGGTGGAGGAGGATGGAGGATTGAGGACGGAGAATGTAGGTTAAAGGATGGAGGAAGAGAGATGGATTGAGGGAGAGAGGGGGGGAGGAGGAGGAGCAGGAGCAGGAGGAGGAGGAGGAGGAGGAGGAGGAGGAGGAGGAGGAGGAAGAGGAGGAGGAGGAGGAGGAGGAGGAGGGAGGAGGAGGAGGAGGAGGAGGAGGAGGAGGAGGAGGAGGAGGAGGCGGAGGAGAAGCGAGGAGGAGGAGGAGGGAGGAGAGGAGGAGGAGGAGGAGGGGAGGAGGAGGAGGAAGAGGAGAGAGGAGGAGGAGGAGGAGGAGGAGGAGGAGGAGGAGGAGAAGGAGGAGGAGGAGGAGGAGGAGGAGATGGAGGAGGAGGAGGAGGAGGAGGAGGAGGAGGAGAAGGAGGAGGAGGAGGAGGAGGAGGAGGAGGAGGAGGAGAGGCGGGTGTGCCAGAACGCGGGCTGATCGCGAGGTCTCTGCCGCGGACTCGGGCATCGAGACCGACTGGCGCGACGCCCGCTTGCCGCCTTTTTTCGCCTCGAGGAAGCACCGCGCGGCTGTCCGCCCGGGGAACATGCCGCGTCGGAAAGCTGGCAAGCCGACCGCCCCCGCGCTGGTCTTTTGGTGCGTGTGCGGGCTCTGCGTGCACCTCGCTGCTGGCATGCCCACTTCGGCAGCAGAGGCAGCGCCCACTGGTGCTGGGCTTAGCTCGGCTCGGCCCCGCGGCCCTCGCGCTCCCTTCATGCGCTGCTCTCACCTGCCCCCGGCCTACCTCGATCGGCGATCCTGTCCAATCGATGCCATCGGACTGTGGCTTGTTGAGCGCACGGGCGTGCCGCCCGCCACCCCGTACCGCAGCGGGCATTCCCTCGCCCGGTTCTTGTCCACCTTCTGCGCTTGCTTGGCTCTACGACGCGGGGTCTCTTCACTACATCCTGGTGCATGACATCGTGGGCATCCAGAGCACCCATCCGCGCTGGAAGGCCTTGCTCTCCGAAGCGTGGGGCGTGGCCAAGCAGTGGAAGTTGGCCGAGCCTCCCAAGCCCCGCCCTCCCCTGCCCCGCGTGCCCCTGCGCGCGATGGTCGGCATCTGTCTTGCCTGGGGCTGGCCCCACGATGGCAGCTCTGCTGCTCATGGGTTGCACGTCGTTTCCACGTCCAGGCGAGCTGACTGTTGCTCGACGGTGTGACCTGTCGTTGCCTGGCGACCGCCTTCCTCTCGATCCTTGCGCCCGACGTTCCGCGGTGGTGTGCGACCCAGCACGCGCCCGTCTCTCGGCTCGGGCGAGTGCACGGCTTCCCGAGAAGGTGCTTGGTAGTTGGGACCCCGCCGGTCCGTTCACCCCCTTCGGTCAGAGCGGCTTCCGTGCTCGGTGGGGCAGTCTGCTTTCGGCTTCTAGGCGTCCCACGTGCCAAGGCTGCCGCTGGCCTGGCCTTGGCGCCTGCCTGGCTGCTGGGCATTGACGCCGCGGCCGAGGTTCACGTCGCCTCCGAAGACGTACCGCGCGTCTTTTGGCGAGGTCGCTGGCGCCAGGCATCCAGTGCTGAGCGCTACCTTCAGGCCGCTGCCGCATCCACAGTTCTCGCTGCGCTTCCCGAGCCCTCTGGGCCTCGAGTTGTGTATTTTGATATTGCCAGCGGCCGCCTTGTTGCTTCCTTTCTTGACGTTTGCCCTGCCGTGTGGTCCGTCCGTCTTGCGGCCGCGCGCCGTGACCTTGACACTGCGCAAGGGCTTGAGCGTGGGTATGGCTGCATCGTTTTTTCGACGACCAGGTGGAGCTCGCCACCTGAGTGCGGTGCCGCTGGCTCGGGCGCGCTTGGAGGGGCTGCCCACTTTAGGCCGCCGCGGGAGAATGCGATTCTAGATTCTCCGCGACACGTGCTCCCAGCTGTCTCTGAAGCTTCCCGGCCCCCCCTTCCTCTCCACCCTCTGGTGCCCAGGCTGAGCCTGTGCTGCGTCGCTATTGAGCTCGCCGCCTGAGTGCGGCGCCGCTGGCTCGGGCGCGCCGGGAGGGCCTACCCATTTTGGGCCTCTCCGCGCACGCGCGCGCGCCGCCCCGTCGCTCAAAGACAGCTTGCTTGCGCGCGAGCGGGGGAGTCCTTCTCCTCCTCCTCCTCCTCCTCCTCCTCCTCCTCCTCCTCCTCCTCCTCCTCCTCCTCCTCCGCTTCGTTCCTTCTCGTACTCGTCCTCCTCCATCTCTTCCTCCATGGCCTCGCGCTTGCCTTCCTGCTCGTTGTCCTCCTGCTCCCGTTGTTGCCCTCCCCGTGATCCGCGCTGTCATTCGCGTCGCCCGCCGCCTTGTTGTAGCCGTCATCCTTTTCTTATTGTCCCTCCACGAGCCCAATGGGCAACATCGGCGGTTCCTTTTTTTTCAATCAGGTTGGTGGCGTATCTGTCATTCGCAGGAGAAGGGGAGGGTGGGGATCAGGAGGACATGTGATCTTTAGCGGCAGGGTGGAGGATGAGGAGGAGTATGATGATGATGATGATGATGATGATGATGATGATGATGATGATGATGATGATGATGATGATGCTGATGATGATGATGATGATGATGATGATGATGATGAGGAAGAGGAAGAGGAGGAGGAGGAGGAGGAGGAGGAAGAGGAGGAGGAGGAGGAGGAGGACGAGGAGGAGGAGGAGGAGGAGGCAGAGGCTGGAGGAGGAGGGGTGCAGGGGGAGGGAACATGATTGGAAGATTTGGGGGGGATGCCGGTGAGGAGGCGTCGATGACCACGACTCTGGTGCTCTCGTGAGTTGGCGGTCTCGGGTGTCGGGGCCAGGCCGTGGGTGTCTGGAAGAACGACAAGGGTAGCCTGTGGCCGTGAGCGTCGTCACTTTTAGGCGCACGCTCTCCGGCTCCGGGTGGGTGCCGCGCAGAGCTCGCCCCGCCCTCCTTGCCTCTCCCTCCTCGTGCCTCGCCTGTCGGTGCGGGGGGGGGGCCCGGGGCAATGAGGAATGGGGGTGGGGATGAGCGACGCACCCCCTCATCGTGTCGCCGCAAATGCGCTTCGGCTCGGAGAGATGTCATGTGCCGGAGGCCGTGGCTGTGATCGGGACCAGAGCACCTGGAACAGAACGCTATGGCATTTGTGGATGGAGCGCGCCGCCGTTTTTTCCCACTGACCCCTCACGACTCGCGCGGTCCCGCGCGTGCATTTGAGACGCAGGCGGTGCTGCACTACGACCCCGTTCGATTCGGTTTTGCGGAAGTGGTCGCGAAGGACCTCCTCGGCTTGTTCCAGGAAGGGGAAGGAACCGGACCCAGCAGGGGGTCTCCCTCCTCGTTTTCCAGACCGTTAATCCTGCTCTCCCTCTTTCTCTCTCTCTCTCGTTTTTGCTTGGTTCCTTCCCCTTTGTTTCTCTCTCTTTTTTTGTCTTCTGTCTCTCTCTCTCTCTCTCTCGTCTGTGTGTGTGTCTTTTTCTTTGTCTCTGCCTGTCAGTCTTTTTTCCAACTATCCTGTGTTGAGTTGGGTCCTCGTTTTGAAGAGACAGTCCCCGCGTCCCTCTCCTCCTCCTCCTCCTTCTCCCCTCCTCCTTCCCTTTCTCCCTCCTCCCGTTACCCCCCTCACTTTGGCACACCCCTCACACGTTTCGCGGTCCCACAGGGAGCTCCACCAAAGGCGCCAGTGGCTGCGTTTGCATGCCGCCACCCCCCTTACTTTGGCACACCCCTCACACGTTTCGTGGCCCCATAGGGAGCTCCACCGAAGACCCCAGCGGCTGCGTTCGCATGCCGCCACCCCCCTCACTTTGGCACACCCCTCACACGTTTCGTGGCCCCATAAGGGGGCTCCACCGAAGGCGCCAGTGTCTGCGTCTGCATGCCGCCACCCCCCTCACTTTGGCACACCACTCACACGTTTCGTGGCCCCATAGGGAGCTTCACCGAATGCGCCAGTGGCTGCGTTTGCATGCCGCCACCCCCCTCACTTTGGCACACCCCTCACACGTTTCGTGGCCCCATAGGGAGCTCCACCGAAGGCGCCAGTGGCTGCGTTTGCGTGCCGCCACCCCCTTACTTTGGCACACCGCTCACACGTTTCGTGGCCCCATAGGGAGCTCCACCGAAGGCGCCAGTGGCTGCGTTCGCATGCCGCCACCCCCCTCACTTAAGCACACCCCTCACACGTTTCGTGGCTCCATAGGGAGCTTCACCGAATGCGCCAGTGGTTGCGTTCGCATGCCGCCACCCCCCTCACTTTGGCACACCCCTCACACGTTCCGTGGCCCCATAGGGAGCTCCACCGAAGGCCCCAGCTGCTGCGTTCGCATGCCGCCACCCCCCTCACTTTGGCACACCCCTCACAAGTTTCGTGGCCCCATAGGGAGCTCCACCGAAGGCGCTAGTGGTTGCGTTCGCATGCCGCCACCCCCCTCACTTTGGCACACCCTTCACACGTTTCGCGGCCCCATCGGGAGCTTCACCGAATGCGCCAGTGGCTGCGTTTGCATGCTGCCCACCCTTCACTTTGGCACACCCCTCACACGTTTCGTGGCCCCATAGGGAGCTCCACCGACGGCGCTAGTGGCTGCGTTCGCATGCCGCGCCCGCATGTCTTCTCCCGCTTCTCCTGGTGCCTGTGAGCCGCAACGTGCCACATCAGCATGCAACCCGTTTCGTCTGACCTCTGCGCCCCCAGCGGGCGGCCTAAGCGGCAGCGCCCGCATGGCAGCCCCGCCTCACTTCGGCGCTCCATTCACGCGTGTCGTGGCCCCGCAGTGAGCTCCACCCAAGGTGTTGTTGTTGTGTCTTTTCGCAACGGCGTTACTCACACCTTCTCTCTCTTTATCTGGTGTTTTGCCGTCTCTCTCTCTCTCTCGCTCTCCATTTTCCCAATCATCCTGTGGTGTTGGGTCCTCGTTTCGGACACACACAGCGCCCCGCGCCCCTCCTTCCTCCTCCTCCTCCTCCCGCTTCCTCATCCCATCTTTGCTCTTGCCCTCCGCACCAGTCAGCCATGTTGGCACACCCCTCACAGGTTCGTGGCTCCATTGTGAGCTCCACCGAAGGCCCAGTGGCCAGCGTTCACATGCGCCCACCGCGCCGATTCCGCCACTCCCATCACACGGTTCGTGGCTCCATTGTGAGCTCCACCGACGACCCCAGTGGTTGCGTTCGTATGCGCCCACTGCACCCATTTTGGCACACCCCTCACACGGTTCGAGGCCTCATTGGGCTTCACCGACGGCCCCAGTGGTTGCGTTCGCATGCGCCCACTGCACCCATATTGGCACACCCCTCACACGGTTCGAGGCCCTATTGGGCTGCACTGAAGACCCCAGCGGTTGCGTTCGTATGCGCCCACCACACCCATTTTGGCACACCCCTCACACGTTTCGTGGCCCCATAAGGGGGCTCCACCTGCGGCCCCAGTGGTTGCGTTCGCATGCGCCTGCCGCCAGCCCCGTGCCCAGGGTGGGCCCGGCCAAGCTCGGCGATGTGGACCGTTGGCGTCCTCCAGAGCTGAGGGTGCCAGCAGTCCCGTCGGGGAGCAGCATCTCGACGGACGTCCGCTCCAACGGACGAAGTCTCGCCTGCCCCTCGTCTCCCTCTGGTCCTCCTCCTCCCCACCCCCCTCGTCCTCCTCCCATTTTTCGTCGTCGTCGTCCTCCTCCTCTTCCTCCTCCTGTCCACCCTCACCCTCACCCTCATCCTCTCCATCTTCCTGCTGCTGCCTCTCCTCCACCTCCTGACCTTCCTGCTTCCCTCTCTTCTCTTCCCCCCCTTCTCAGGATTGAAACAATTCCCTGTCCCTGTGTCCCTGTGCCTTTGACTGCCCTGATCTTGCGTGCGCGAGCATGCCATCTTGCCATCTCTTCTGCTGTAGCCGTGTTGGCTCAGTTTTTGTGTTAAATCAGTCTTCTAGCTAGCTCAAGCCGAGGCAACAGACAATCCGCTCGTCGTCAGATAGTCTGTCTCGTCTCGACCTTGCGCTTGTTTGATGGATGGCCGCAGCAGTCTGAATGACGAGCCGCTGTGTCAGAGCCCGACAGCATTGAACAGCGCTCGAGTGCGATACAAGATTTTGGCATCCTATGCCAGCGCTCGCTTAGGAGCCCAAGTGTGGGTTTTTGCCATCCCGCCAGTCCTCGTCGAGTTCACCCCAGAATCTGTCGTTGCCCCGGCATTGTGGGGCATGTCGACCATGTTGGCAACAGTCATTCTGGGGCCAAGCCTGGGGAGACAGGCAGACAGGACATGCAGACTGATGGTGATCACATCGAGCGTGCGTGTGCAGTGCGTCACGGTGATCGGCTCGATGGTTGTGATTGCACTGGGCGTGTTACGCTTCCGCAGCATGAGTGGCAACTGGACGTTGTTGACGATGTTCATCGCATGCGAGGTCTTGGCGAAGCTTGGAGAGCAGCTGGCGGATGTCTCGCTGAAGCGGGAGTGGGTGCCGCGGCTGTTCAGCGGCGAGACTTTGCAAACCCTGAACTCGGCGATGTCCTTTATCGACCTCTCCGCGCAGGTCGTCAGCCCGCTCATCGCGAGCCTGCTGGTTGCCCTGGGCGCTTTCTCCGCGCACAGGTCCAGCGGCCTTGATCCGAATAACTTCTGCTTGGTGGCCGCGGGCGCTCTCCATGCGGCCTCGCTCTGGCCTCAGCTCCAGCTGCTGCGCAGCGTGCACGGCTCCCACGCCGAGCTCCTCCGGCCAGCGCCCGAGCCGGCCAGCGGAGGCGCAGGGAAGCGGGGAGGCCCGGGGCCGCCGGAGGGAGGCGCGTGGTCCGCGTGGCGCAGGCACGCGGGCGGCCTGCCCCTCCTCTCGCTGTCCGAGGCGCTCCTCTACCTGACCGTGCTGAGCCCCGCCAGCGCGATGCTCCGGGGCATCCTCCAGCTGAGGCGGGTGCCCACCTGGCAGGCCTCGCTCGCCGGGGCCGCGGGCGCGGCCCTGGGCGCGGGCGGCACGCTGGCGCGGCCCGCGCTGGGCCGCCGCTTCGGCGAGCGCGCCGCCGACGGGGTGAGCGTGTGCTGGGAGGCCGCGTGCGTGGTGTCGGCGGCGCTGTGCTACCGCGCCGCGGCGGCCACGCCCGAGGGGGGCAGCCTGCCGATCCTCGCGTTCCTGGGCGCGGCCTGCGCCAGCAGGCTCGGGCTCTTCGCCTTCTGCCTCGGGATGCTGAACAGGAAGCAGCGGCTGGTGGAGGCGCGCTGTCGCTCCGCGGTCGGCGCGGTGGACGCAGCACTCACGTCTGCGGGGTCCCTCCTCACGTACACTGCGGGGTTGTATCTGGGCCACGCTTCCCAGTTCTGGCTGCTGGTCGACCTGTCGGCCTTTTTCGTGACCTGCGGCGCTTGCGTGTATCTTCTATGGGCTGCCCTGTACGACAGGGGGGACCCTGGCAGTGCGCGTGACTTGGGGCCACAGCAGCAGCAGCACACGCTCGAGATGGAGGACATGAGCGAGTTGTGTGATGGCTCTACCAGTTAGCACAGGCTGGGGTTTTGAGACGCTGTAAATCAGAGGGGATGTTTTTTTTTGTTCAGAGCGGACGGTGCTGCACGAGTTTGTTTCGAGGGCGTGGAGTTGACATCTATTGTGGCCAGCATGGCTTCTGGTGGTTGCTAGCCTGTGCTGATCTTTGACCACATGGCAGAGTGGAGCGCTAACGAGCCGTAGCCCGAGTGGAATTGGGCGAGTAGGAAGCCAGACTGGTGACTGGTTTAGCGCATGTGTGGTGAGCGGCGGCTGCGTGTGCATCCCCATGCGTTTAGTGGGAAACGTGTGGCCGAGAAGCTGAATTCTGGCACCTCTGCTGACAGTTTCGCTAGAACTGCGCGCGCTTGCGTGGCTCGGGGCAACCAGCAAAGTCAACGAACGACATCAGAAGGGACGTCAACTGCGCGAACACTTGCGTGCGTATGCTTCCCGCGTAACGTCGCGCGCCTGCGCCACGCCTGTTGCTTTCAGTGTACCTCGTTAGCGGCGTTGAGTGAGCCATCGCGTAAGGTCGCCGCACCTTCTTGCGTCAGGACCCCTTCTCTTCGCTGCTCAGACGGGCGCGTGAACCAAGCGCGAGTAAACGGTCTAGCAGCATTAGTTGTTTGCCGTGCAGATCTCTAGATCGCTCTGAGCGCTGCTGGTCCCCCGACCTCGACATGGAACAGCTGTACCCCTGAAGCACCTGTGCCCAGGGGGCTAGTATCCTTTGAGTAAGTGTTGCGATCTTGCTGCGCCGTTCTGTTTCACACCTTCGGCCATCATGAGTGCGATCGGTGGGTGTGCGACTTATTATCAGTACATTGAAATCTAGTGGGTCCATCCCGCAACCGTGTCTTGGTTGTAGGTCAGGGGCCTCCGGGGTACCCGGGGGGATATCTTGCAAGGCCCTCGTCGCTATGGCGGAATTCGCATCGGAGTTCTTAGTCAGAGCAGGCCCCAAGGAGTGGGTCCGGGAATGTCCTTCGAAACCTCTTTCTCCGCCCAGCAAGTGCGCAAGAGCTCCCAGGGGTAGCTCCGAAGAACTCCGATGGCAGGAGCTCGCAGGAGCGTCCAGAAGCGCATGCCAGAAGGTGGGAGGTAAGCTGGTGCAGCGAAATATTTTTGGCTTCGCAATGCGTGTAGGCGCGAGGACTGGCAGTTCAGAGTGGTGAACCCAGATGTTTTCTTTTGTTTCGAGCTGGAGTGATTGGCGTGGCACGAGCCCGTGAGCAGGCCGATCTTCCTCCATCCCCGCCAGAGTTGATGCGAGGTCGGATCGAACTCGTGCCGCAATGGTCGCGTGTGCAACTAGTGATCTAGAACGATTTGTCTGGTGCAGGCGAAGATTCGGTCGAAGCGACGGCGCGAACCAAGCCGTGGCTTACGATGGGGATGCACTGGTGGCCATCGTTGGGGCCTTTTCTGTAATCGCCTGGTGCCGGGGGACGGGTCCGTCAGTGATGGCACGTTGCGACGTCTTCTTGTCTGTCCGCTCTGAAGGTCTGATGTGGGGATTCATCCTTCTTTTCCGCCCGGGGGGTTGGTCTTTGGGGACCTCGGCAGGCGGCTGATATGGAGATGGATCTCTCTATAGTTAATTCATAATGAGAATTCCCTGCCTCGCCGTTGATGCTGGCGCTCACGAGAAGAAGAGCCGCACGCGAGGGCCAAGCTATCGTGTGGTTTCCCCTGTCACCCGCGCCTCCGCCTCCCGCCGTGCCTGGTTCCCCGTGCCTGGATTCGCCTCGGCCGCACGGCGATGCGGACCTCACTGTCCAGGGGGTCGCAGGAGGAGCGGCAGGATCGATAACATGCAGGATCGACAGGAGGAAGAGGAGGAGGAGGAGGAGGCGGAGGAGGAGGAGGAGGAGGAGGAGGAGGAGGAGGAGGAGGAGGAGAGAGGAGGAGGAGGAGGAGGAGGAGGAGGAGGAGGAGGAGGAGGAGGCGAGGAGGAGGAGGAGGGCGCGGAGGAGGAGGCGGAGGAGGAGGAGGAGGAGGAGGAGGATGAGGAGGAGGAGGAGGAGGCCCGCGAAGGCTGAGCGCGACCGAGTCGGAAGCGCAGGCCGAGAAAGGAGGAGGAGGAGGAGGAGGAGGAGGAGGAGGAGGAGGAGGAGGAGGAGGTGAGCATCAGCCATCGACGCAGACAGCACAGAGCTCTTCTTCGGTCGGCGCCGGGGCCCCGCCTGGCGTTGGCGGCCCAGGGGCTGGCGCCACCGCCAGCATCGGAGGTGGCCTCCACCGAGGGAAGACGGCCCCGAGCTCGGTGATGGTGGTGATACAGTGGAAGTCCATGCCAAGAAACACCCTGCTGTCGTCACTTTCGTGAGCTCCTGGGAGGTCCAGCGGATCGTACTGTTTTAGAGGCGTCCAGACTCGACCTCGCCGTCTGGTCGTTGCCGACTGCGCAGCTGTCGCCTCTTACATTCGAGCTCCTGCGAGGTCCAGCGGAGTGCGGGCCAAGTACAGTGGAGGCCCATGCCAAGAAACACCCTGTTTGCCTCCAGGGTGCCCTGGGTTTCTTGGGTTTCGGTGGTTTTTCGCGATGGAAAGCGTGGCGTTCCCACACCAAAAGTCAAGGGACGTCCTGGGGTCTCAGGGTTGGGTTTCTCGTGGAAGGTTTCTCGTGGACTGGCCTCCACTGTATTCGGGCTTCGGTGGCCGAGAGATTACCACCAACATCGAAATCCAGGGTCATCTTCCCCCGGTGGAGGCACCCCCTCGTGTCGGTGTGGGTGCCAATCTCCAGGCCCCCAGCCTTGCGCAGCCAGAGGACAAACGCGCGACAGGAGGTCTCGTGCTCTTTTCGGCCTCCACGAGGGCGGCCACTGGCGGGGCTCCAGGACAGTCAACAGAGCGACTCGGGATGAAATGCCGGCGCTGGCCCGCGCCGGGCGAAGTCGGGCGAGGATACCTAGACATATCCACCGCCACTGGCGAGGCCCGTCTTCGGATCGGTATATTCTTCTTCCTATATTTTTGCAAGCCCGGGGGGGGGGGGGGGGAAACCCTCCCCCCAAAACTGGACCCCCTGGGATCTGGGGTTCTCGGGCTCCCTTGGACGTCCTTGGAAAAGGTCACCCGGCTTTCCGGGTCTCCACAAACGCCTTGCCAGCAGACCCAGAGCGATCCGAGGGGTCATCAGACAGGCTCAAGGGAGGCCCCAGACAGCACAAGAGCGCTCCAAGAGGGACTCCAATTGCGTCAGGACGGCACAAAAGACCTCCAAGGCACCCCAAAAAGCTTTCCAAGGGGCCTTCGAAGCACAAACATCGTCCCATTCCCTTCGTAAACCTTACACTTTTAGCATATTCGCCTTTCGGATTTCATCAGCTTTCAAGACGGTTTTAAAGACCCCGAGATCGCCTCCAGACGCCCCAAAAGGCCCCAAAGAAAGCTTCAAGACGGCCGAGCCAGGCCCCACGATCGCCCACGAGAGCCCCAAGACAGCCCATAATGGAACCAATAGGCCCCCCAAGGGCTCCCAGCACAGACCCAAAAGGGCCATGGGAGTTCCCGAAAGTGCCCCAGATGGGTCCAAATGGGGCTCCAGCGGGCCCAAGCTCCCCAAGACGGCCCAAGAAGGCCCCAGGACGGCCCATGAAGGCGCCAAAACGGCCCACGAGGGCCCCGAAAACACCCCCACGATGTTTCCGAATGCCAACATAAAGACCCCCAAGGCACCCCAACAAGCTTTCCAAGGGGCCTTCAAAGCACACAAATCGTCCAATGCCCTTCGTAAACCTTACACTTTTAGCATATTCGCCTTTCGGATTTCATCAGCTTTCAAGACAGTTTTAAAGCCCCCGAGATCGCCTCCAGACGCCCCAAAAGGCCCCAAAGAAAGCTTCAAGACGGCCGAGCCGGGCCCCGCGATCGCCCACGAGAGCCTCAAGACAGCCCATAATGGAACCAAGAGGCCCCCCAAGGGCTCCCAGCACAGACCCAAAAGGGCCATGGGAGGTCCCCGGAAGTGCCCAAGATGGGTCCAAAGGGGGCTCCAGCGGGCCCAAGCTCCCCAAGACGGCCCAAGAAGGCCCCAGGACGGCCCATGAAGGCGCCAAAACGGCCCACGAGGGCCCCTGAAAAAAAAAACACGATGTTTCCGAATGCCAACATAAAGGCCCCCAAGGCACCCCAAAAAGCTTTCCAAGGGGCCGTCAAAGCACAAGAATCGTCCCATTCCCTTTGTTGTAAAATTTACACTTTTAGCACATTCGCCTTTCGGATTTCATCAGCTTTCAAGACGGTCTCAAAGCCCCCGAGATCGCCTCCAGACGCCCCCAAAGGCCCCAAAGAAAGCTTCAAGACGGCCGAGCTGGGCCCCACGATCGCCCACGAGAGCCCCGAGACAGCCCATAATGGAACCAAGAGCCCCCCCAACGGCTCCCAGCACAGACCCAAAGAGGCCATGGGAGGTCCCCGGAAGTGCCCAAGATGGGTCCAAAGGGGGCTCCAGCGGGCCCAAGCTCCCCAAGACGGCCCAAGAAGGCCCCAGGACGGCCCATGAAGGCGCCAAAACGGCCCACGAGGGCCCCGAAAACACCCCCACGATGTTGTTTCCGAATGCCAGCATTCATTGATTTTGCTCCCATGACATTTCACATTGTGACCCAGTCGTTGAGGTCCTCGTGGCATGCAGCGAAGATGCCCGAGGATGCCCCGTACGAGTTGCATATCATATGCATGTTCATACCCTTACACACATACATGTATATGTACACATGTACGCTGTCTACACACGTACATCAATGCAATTATGCATGCACGTGCGCGTGTATACGTGCATGCGCGCATGTACGCACGCACGCATTCCGCTTGCGTGCAGATCTCAAAGGACCAAGGTGCATGGCGCTCACCGCCAATGCAGTCTTGTATGTCTGTCTGTCTGTCTGTCTGTCTGTCTGTCTGTCTGTCTGTCTGTCTGTCTGTCTGTCTGTATGTATGTATGTATGTATGTATGTATGTATGTATGTTTGTACGTACGTACGTACGTACGTACGTACGTATGCACGTATGCATGCATGCATGCATGCATGCATGCATGCATGCATGTATGTCTGTCTGTCTGTCTGTCTGTCTGTCTGTATGTATGTATGTATGTATGTCTGTCTGTCTGTCTGTCTGTCTGTCGGTCTGTCTGTCTGTCTGTCTGTCTGTCGGTCTGTCTGTCTGTCTGTCTGTATGTATGTATGTATGTATGTATGTATGTATGTATGGATGTATGTATGTATGTGTGTATGTGTGTATGTGTGTATGTATATATATATATATATAGATGCTGCCGGGTGGGTGGGAATGCCGCTGCACGCGGCTGGCTGAGCGATCCCGTCGCCGGGCCCCTCTCTGCGGGCGCAGACTTCGGCGGGCCCGCGCCGTGAGGGCAGAGCCACGGCGCCCGCGGGGCCACGGGGGTGCGAGGCGCGCCGCCTGCCGGCAGCCGTGGCACTCCGGGTGCTGCCGGAGGCGCCCCTGGCACAATTGGTGGTCTCCAAACCAGGTGGTGAGATTCCCTCAAAAAAGCATTCTGGGTCACCACCGGGTTTGGGGACACGCGGTCGCCACGGGGTTTTGCGTTTCCGGGGCCAGCCAGCGCTCGAAACGCGTTACCCAGATCGCCCAAAATTCACCACCGGGTGTTCTCACCACCACGTTTGGGGACCACCAACACAAGCAGGGCGTCCCGGCAGCTCCAAGGAGCCCCCCCCCAGGGCCCCCAGACCTCGCAGCCGTCGCCCTCGGGCCGCAGCCGCCCCCCGGAAGTCTCGACCCATTTCCCAGGACCCCGTCTCCATCCTGGGTCGTGTCTGGCGTTCCCGCGGCCCGGCGAGGGCCTCTGGAGGCCGAAAGCGGCGAACAACCTCCCGTCCTGTTTTTTTCACTGCGTTGGATCTCTGGGGAGGTCCACGCGGCGTGTGGCCGACCCCGAGATGGGGTTGCTCGTCTGCCCTCCCGGGGGGCCGCGGCGGCGCCGGGGGCTGGCACGCCGACCGCCCCGTCCTTGCCCCGTCCCCACGGCGGGCATGCCCCCCTGCAGGCTTGCCCCGTCTCCACGGCGGGCATGTCCCCCTGCAGGCGGAAGTCGGACGAAGAACTCAGAAAAGTCAAAACATGCTCAAGCATAGTGAGAAAACAATCACCAAAATCGTCCCCAGACTGTCTTTTGTGACTATTCTTGAATGTCCCTCCTGTAGAGGGGCATGCCCGACTTAACACGAGGCCCAGAGCGCCCCCGGGGCCCCAAGAAATGGCGCGAACGGCGCCTGACTGGGGGACTACACAGGGTATGGTTACGCCGGGGTGTAGTTTGCGATCGGCGCCGTTGGGGCCTGGGGGGCACGACACTGTCCTCGTCGGGCCTCCTCGGGGCGCGGAAGAACTCAATCGAGGTCCCCGCGCGCCCCCCAGGGTGCCCCTCAGGATGTTCCCCAGGGTGCCGGTTGCAAACCACACCCGTTGCAAACCACACCCTTTAGAGTCGCCGACTGACCGTCTCGCACACCTTGGCGCCTGTGATTTTCAAAGTTTGGGCGCGCGGTCGGTCGCTGCCCTCATTCGCGGCGCGCGCGTCCAGTCTGCCAGCAGCTGCGCGGGCGCCCAGGAGCTCTCGGGGCGGAGTACTGGATGGCCCAGCTCCAGGGCTACAGCATGACCGAGGATCGGGTGGCGGCAAATATCTGCGTCGGAGGGTGCCAGCCATGTGCCTGGGCAAGCCCATCCTCGGCCCAGGAGCAGTGCAGGTGCCTTCGTGGCCAAGCCAGTGAGGAGTTTTCCCCGCTCCTGGGCCCGGGAGGAGGCCAGCCAGGGTCGTCGGGGCGTGAAGTGGGGGCGTCCCCCTTGGGCGATGGTCCAGAGAGAGTCCTGAAGGGCAAGATGCCCTTGTACAGTTTTGCTGCTGTCGGCCTCCCTGGCCCCTTCCTCGGCCATGGGAGGAGCAGAAAGCTGTTCAGGGTGGGGCGCCGGTCCCGGGGAACGCCTGTCCAGGGCCAGATTCTCCCAGTACGCACTGCCCCCATGTCAAGCAAGCGGGTGGCACGAGGGGGGGGCGGCCTTTGAGACGGCAGGGGGCTTTTTTAATCCCCATCCTCGCCTTCTTAGATGCTTCCTTTCGCTTCAACGACACTGTCTTCTTTGAAGGCCGCTCACCTCACCCCTCCGCCTTGCGTGCGCCGCCAATCTGTGAAATTCCCCAAACAGTGCTTGCACTTCGATGCTTTCACATCCTTCCTAAGGAACTGGGTCTGTGCGTCGGTCTGGCGGCTAAGGTGTCGCCGTCACCGCCCCATCGCTGCCTTCTGGTCGCCCATCGTCTGGGCCTCTGCGTCGGTCTGGCGGATATGTTGTCGCCGTCGTGCACCGTACACGTTGCGCAACAGAGATCGCACAACATATATTGCAGAACATGAATTGCAAAACAGATTTCGATCCACATAGATTGCGCCACACATATTTTGCACCGCATTCATTGCACCACCTAGATTGTAAGACATTTACCACCCCACATCGATGGCACAACATATATTGCGAGAAACACTGTTTAGGGTCCACGCTGGCTAACATCGCTTTCTTTGAAGGGGAGAAAAGACAAGGACAACTATTGGCCTAGCCCACGGCCAGTCTCGGGCTGGTGCAGTCCTCGGAGGAGCTTGGACCTCTCCGTACTCTTCTTGCGAGGCACACATGGTTTTGAGAGGAGGGTCCCAGCTCTGCTGCTAGCGAAAACCTTGCTCTCGACGCAGACAAATACAGTAGCAACTGTCTCGACAACACGCGTCCAGAGGAGCTTTTTAGTGTCCCCACCCCCGCCCCGAAGAAGGGCAACCAGGAAGGGTTGGGGAGGGCACGCTTAATGGTTGTGGAAGCAAAGACGAGCCCGATACATCCGCAGCATCGAATACCGCTCCCGTGTGGGACTGGATCATGCGGGTTGCCAAGAGGTTTTGGCCCCTTGGCCTTGGGTGATCTCCTGACCTTCTTGAGTCGAGCCCCGAAGTCAGGCCAAAACTGCAGCATTGAAACTATACACCATGGCGAGGCTGGAATAGTCCGCCCCAGCACGCTCGAAGACAGACAACTCTTGTGGATTTTGATCCCTCCTCCTCCTCCTCCTCCTCCTCCTCCTCCTCCTCCTCCTCCTCCCCCTGTACGCCCCCAGCCTCGGAGTCGAAGGCACCCGGCTGGGAGATGGGGCGGGCCTTGGTCGTCGGCAGCCCCCGTGAGAGAGGGGGGATGCGGCATTCGGGTGTCGTCACAGCTAACTCAACTGGTTCAATGTACCCGGATCGCTTCCACGAGCTTCTGTCCAGAAGGCTCCCCGCGTGCCTAATCTGGACGCCCTGCACGACGACGAGATCAAAGCCCGGTGGCTGCGTCTTCGTCGGGTGTTGGCCAGATCGCAAGCCAGCACAGTTTGTTCTCATCTCAAGACTCTGGCGGGGGGGTGGATCACCACGATCCCCGCCCCTTTACAGTGTCGACTTGACTGCCCCAACCGTCCCGACTCGCCCCTCCGCTACCTTCCTGCCCCCGTCTGCTCCATCTTATTGCGTTACCCCGTCTGCGTGTCCCGACTGTCCCCTTTTCCTGCGGCTTGGCCTGGGATAAGATGAGGAATGCGAAGACACCGATCTCACGGTGGTTTTTGCCCATGGTTTAGTCATTCTCGCTCGCAGTATATATCATGAACTTCGCGCCGAGCCAGCTGGAGCCCTGGAGCAGCTCGGCAACTACGAGCAACACATTTCTACACGCCATGCGGCTTTCGTTCGGCACTAACCCACGGCTCGCCTAAGGGACGTGCGCTCCCCCATTCCCTTCCCCCCCGCTGCCCATCGTCGCCATCGTCGTCGTTTTTGCCGTGTCCGCTTTGGTTTTCGCTTTCGTCGTCGTCGTCCTCGTCGTCGTCGTCGTCGTCGTCGTCGTCGTCGTCGTCGTCGTCGTCGTCGTCGTGGTCACCGTCATCACCGCCGTCGCCGTCGCCGTCGCCGTCGCCACCGCCCTCGCTGCCGCCGCCGTCGCAGTCGCCGCCGCCGCCCTCGCCGCCGCCGCCGTCGTCGCCGCCGTCGTCGTCGCCGTCCTCGCCGCCGAGCTGTCGCCGCCGTCGCTCGTCGTCCCCGACAGGAGGACAAGCGCCACGCCTCCCCTGGCCGCGTCCACGACAGGCGCGCGGGCCCCCCTTGAGACACGGCCGCGTGCTGCGACCCGCGCCTCCGACGACGGCGACGCCGGCCTCGAGCGCGACGACGGAGTGCGGCGATCACGGCGACGCACGACGGCGCGCGACGACGCTGGCGGCGCCGTGGTGCTCACTCGCCGCCCCGGGCGAGGGTCAAGGCGTGCGAGAGCCTGTGCTCACTGTACGAGGGCCCGCCCCGCCCGATGCTGCCGCGGGGGCAGTGTGCGCCAAGAGGGAGGGCGGGAGGGATGCATGGAGGAGGAGGAGAGGGAAAAGGAGGAGGAGGAGGACGAGGAGGAGGAGGTTTATGATGATGGTGATGATGCGTAGGAGGAGGAGGAGGAGGAGGAGGAGGAGGAGGAGGAGGAGGAGGAGGAGGAGGCGGAGGCGGAGAAGGAGGAGGTGGAGGAGGAGGAGGATTACGATGATGATGATGATGATGATTGTGATGATGATGATGATGATGATGATGATGATGATGATGATGATGATGATGATGATGATGATGATGTGATGAGGATGAGTTTTGAGGATGAGGATGAGGATGATGATGCTGATGATGTGATGATGATGATGCTGATGCTGATGCTGATGCTGATGCTGATGATGATGATGATGATGATGATGATGATGATGATGATGATGATGATGATGATGATGATGATGATGATGATGATGATGATGATGCTGATGTGTAGGAGGAGGAGGAGGAGGCGGAGGAGGAGGAGGAGGAGGAGGAGAAGAAGAAGGCGGAGGAGGAGGTGGAGGAGGAGGAGGAGGAAGAGGAAGAGGAGGATGAGGTGGAGGAGGAGGAGGAGGAGGAGGAGGAGGAGGAGGAGGAGGAGGAGGAGGAGGAGGACAAGTGTTAATCCCAAGATCCTTGCGGCTAATGCCATTCCGCCGACCCTCAGAAGAGGGCATAAATCCACTGTGAGGCTTTTGGATGCCTTTTGGAGAACGTTTGGGAGCCTCTGGGGGGCTCTTTTGCTTCTTTTGGGGCGTTTTCGGGGGTTTTTGGGCGCCTGCTGGCAGTCTCGGAGGGCCCTTTTCGTGTTTCAGCTACCCTTTTTGGGCCCCTCTTGAGCCCTGGGCCCCCGCGGGCCGTCTTGGGCGTCTCTTGGGCCGTCTTGTGCCTTGTGGCCCTCTTGGGGCCCTCCCGGGGGCTGCTTGGGCCGTCTTGGAGCAATCTTGAGGGCCCTTTGAGCCGTCTGAGGCGCTGTTTAGACAACAAAAGTAGAATATGCTGAGAATGCACGTTTTCCTGAAGAGATTTGAGGATTTTTGCTTCTTGGGGCCCTATTTGGGGTCCTGTTGGAGCCATCTCGGGGCGTCTTGGAGGTTTCTTGGGCCGTCTTGAAGCCATATTGGGTGTTCTTGAGGTCTCCTCAGCGTGTTCGAACCCAGCTTAAGCCAGCTGAGATGGCATCTTGGGCATCTTGGACGCCACGGAGTGTAGATTTAGAGGCTCCGGAGGCCGCCTGAGCCCCCCAGGGTGCGTTGGCGAGCTCGGCCCCCCCCCCTCCTCAACCGGCAGTTTGGACCCCAGGGGAGGGGGAACGGGGGAGGGGGACAGCCAATTTCCTCACACGCCTTCTCACCCCGGCAAGTGGGGGTCGGCGGATTTATCAACGACATTGCAATACATTCTCCCTCCAAGTTCCCTCTTCATAGGCCCCTACAAGGATTCATTTTCATTGAGGGAAGTGCCCCGTTGGAAGACAACCGTGTGAAAATCTGGAACTGCGCCAGAACACTATTCCAGGGACTTCAACGCCGCGAGTCACTGTTATTGTTGCGTCTGAACCGCTCTGAATCATTCCAGAATGCCATTCCTGAAGCTTCAACACCGCAAAACAACGTGACTGTTGCGCCCTCACATTCCGACACCGTGCCAGAACATCTTTTCAGGGACGTTAACCATGAGAACCCTTAAAACTTTTGCGAACTCTTAGACGAGTGTGCGCGGCGCTAGGGCCAGATTCACTTTATAAAAGCGGGTCGCCATCCATCCGTGAAACTGTTGCAAACTTTTCAGGCAGATGTGCGCGGCGCTCAGGCGAGAGCCACCTTTTCAAAACGGGCCGCCCGCCATCCGTGAAATCGTTGCGAACTGTCAGGACGAATGTGCGCGGCGCGCAGGCGAGAGCCACACTTTGAAGACGGGCCGCCCTCCATCCGTGAAGCCGCTGCAAACTTTTAAAACGAATGCGTGCGGAGCTCAGGCGAGAGCCACATTTCGACAACTGGCCGCCCTCCATCCGTGAAGCTGCTGCAATGTCTAAGCTTCAGGATCATACATGGTGAAACGCCCGGCCAGCCCTTTCGACCAGCCTCGGGGTGCGACAGGAAGGAGTTGTTGATATGTAAAGGGATGGGGGATGATGATGATGATGCTGCTGATAGTGATGCTGATGATGGTGATGATGCTGCTGCTGATGGTGATGATGATGGTGGTGATGATGATGATGCTGGTGATGATGATCATGGTGATAAGGAGGATGAGGAGGATGATGATGGTG